AAAATATAGTCCTCGACTCCCTGGGAATCATTCACCACCACGTGCATGGCTAGCCCGAGAGTTTTAATTTATGTATTTGTTTATTTATTTTTTTACGGAATAATTGAAAACAATAGCGATAAAGAGAGAGAAGTGAGAGAAAGGGAAACTTAATGTTAAATAAAAAAAAAAAAAAAAAAAAGCATGAACAATGAGAAGAGGGAAAAAGGAAAAAAAAAAAAAAAAAATTATAAGGATAAATAAAATAATAAAAATGTATATATATATATATATTTCTGTTTTACTAATATTAACTAATACTTCTGTATATTTATATATAAGTTCATATATTGTCTTAAGGATAGAAGAGTATGCTGTGTGTATAGCAACCCAATGTAATTGGGCAGCAATCCTTTATATTTTATATTTTATGAAAATAAAGTGTTTCTCTCTCTCTATGTAGACAAGTCTTTTGTAATTAATTGAACGTTTAGAGCGTTTGTCTAGTAGGTGTTGGAGCAGTCGGAAGAGATAAAATTTTTATTTAAAAATCTTTACAAGACTCCAACTTCGTTTAAGTAAGTTTTTGTTTATTGTAAAATTCTACCGAACGAAAATAGCGATCTGGCACAGAGTTGCATGTTCTAATAATCGTAAGTGGGTCGTCTCCTTTCAATGGCGAAAAAGTTCATGCCTTTGTCAAATGGTTCTAAAAATAAACGTTAAGGTATTATACGATACTTTCACCAGTGCCAATAAACAAAAACTGAAAATGGATATGTGGATGGCTAAGACATGATACCTCGTAACTATAGAAAAAAAAAATCATATTCGAACGCCATTACTATCGATAATAATCGAAATAGCCAAATTTGGAAGTGAAGCCAATATGTGTGAAAACTATAATTGCATGACATCCAGTAGCTGATTTACAAACAAACCTTCTGGCAATACATTATACATAACTAACAGAGAAAAACCCTCAAACTTAAAAAATTCTTTCACTACAATCCTTCATGAGTTGGGAAAAACTGATGGAGTGATGGGTACTGTGTAGCCAGTTACCCACTGCACTATAATGATAATAAGAATTAATAGTTTGTAAGTGCTATATCATTAAAAATTGCGAGATTGGTTGCTTAAACATGTTATAAATATATTTATATGAATTTCGTTTATTAATTATGTTTCAAAATGAAAATATTAATAAAAATGAAACATAATTTTAAGTATGCTTAAATCGTCCAATATGTTTATATTTTTACATTCACTTACTATATGTAATATATAGTAAGGGCAAGTACTGCAATCGTGAATATTTTCGAATCTGAGTTTTCAACGGAAATACACGTTTCGAGGTCCCCTGAGGCCAACCAAGTCCCGCGAAATGGTCTGTAAGTCTGTGTTTACGTGACGTGAACAGCCTAGCTCAAAAATGAAAAGTAGTACGAAACTTAAATTGCGTATTTGAGGTTTTTATATAGTCCCGATAAGGCAGCAACTTTTTCGTTAAAATCGGTTAACCGGTAGTGCCACTTTATATCAACGGTGAAACACATTTTTACAATTTTTTCAAAAACGGCTCTAACGATTTTGATCAAACTTGGCAAATGATTGTATAATTAAGTGGCCTTCAATATCATGTAGGTCTTATCCCCATTGATGCCAAATGTTCATAAACGCCTTCCTCTAAAGTATCTCTAATATGGATTATTTAAAAAACTAATTCTCTTTTATTGACAGTAATTATAAAACAATGACTAAATATGAAGTTTGAAAGAATATGATAATTGGAAACTGGAGAAAAAAAAGAAAAATGCTTATCAAAGTTAAAAATGAATCTTCGGAAATAAGAGCCAGAATGTATACGTATATTGTATCCTTAGAAAGCGAAGAATTTTAGAAAAAATAATATCAAATAATGTTGTAGAATGTAACGGAGAGAGACGAAAAAAATATAAATACTAATTTCAGAAAACTAACATTATTTAACGTAAATCACATGTTTCCAAGGAAATTAAATGAAATTTTCTTACTAAATGTAAACTTTTAAATTTCTTTCTAAGCAAAATAAAAAAAATATTTAAAATCCACTGAATCAAGCCAATGCCATTGTTTAAAATACTATTTCATTGAAATAAGTGAAATATAAAGATATTTCATAGATATGTTTACTATAGTTTAATAACTCTAGAAATGATATTATATTTAAATAATTAGGTATCTATTGGCAGACCATTCCAAAAAATCAAGTAACGTTTTGAAAAATTAAATTAGTGAATAATTTGATGAATTTTTCCTTTGTGAAATTCCAAGATTATTCACTTACAATTAGCGTGACAACTTTTGACCTATCAATGGCAGGCGATCCAAATATCGTAATATCATTTTAGTAAACTTAAGAATGGAAAATAACAGCTTAATAACAAATAGTCCTACAATTGATAATCATTTATAGGTTAAATATTCAGATGTACTTTCAAATCTCTCTAGGCATATATGAGCCTGTCGGTTGACAGAATGACTAACTCCAATTTCAACATTCTTTATTATTAATTTTAATGATGTTTCTAGTGACAAAATCTGTAGCTAAATTCACAGTTCTATATTTCAACACTGCAATCACCTATTCTGGAATCAATTTACTCACTGTCTGTATGGATACAACTTTTCTAACAAGAAATATCACTAAAATGACATTACTCAAAAATGTTGAATTGCAGTCTGTCAACTGAAAGGCTCAGAGACTCAAATTGTTTGGTTTATAAAAGCAGATGGAGTAACTAGATTTTTATTGCCTATCGACTATGTAATAAATAGGGTTTTGTAATTTTAATGGTCTCAATGATTTGTTGTTATCTGTAAGCCTTAAACTTTAGCTCCGTTTAAAATGCACTTCAAAAATTTTATCATAGCCCAAAATTGCCAGAAAATAATTTTTATTCAAGCTAGAGCGGTAAGTGTAAGTTGTGTGTTACTCCCACTAGATTTTTTAAATTAATTTTATATCATAAGATTAAATTAATAGTTATATTAATCTGTACATTAAAATTATTAATCGGACTGAAACTACAAAACACGTGTTTAAAAATGTTTTCCGTTTTATTTAAAAAAAGTGTAATAAAAACGATGAATCAGGGATTAATAAAACTTTAAAAATAATATCGCTGATCCACCCTCCCAGTCATTACTATAATTTTCATAATATTCAAAGACATTGCTTATTAATGCCTTGAATCGCGGTATTCATGAGCTCGATATAGTTTTCGGTAAACAACGGCATGATGAAGTGGAATGATCGTACAGACCCTACACTTTATTATTCCAGCGTTTCATTCGGAATGATTACCAATAGCCACCATTAAAATAAGACTAAACCTGTAGTGGTCAAGTATAAAATTCTACAAATAAATACTCACACCAACAATAAAATTATTATGGATTTATTGATCAATAATTCGTAATTAAAACACAATAAAATAAAAACATATTTTTCTTTAAAAAAAAAATAAATAAGAATTATTACAAGCCATACCAGAACATTAGTAATTAATATTGCATGTATACTAAAAACATAGTTACATATCATCATTTTTCATACGATTCCCCGACGAAGTTTAGAGATGGTTCAACATATTCAAAACATGTCAGGAAACATTCTAACAATGCTACAAAGAAACTGGTTGAGCAATATCTTCAAATAAAATATTTTTCATTTATAACGGGGTGACGGCCTTAAATGAAAATTATAACGAACAAATATCATAATTCTTATAGTATAAAAACTGATAGGAGGATTTTTTTTTTTATATTTAAATATTTTATTAAAATATACTTTTGTTTTCAATATGATATATAACAGAACAGTTATTGATAATTAGTTATGAGGTACAAATGTTAGAAATACATAGGTTTGTTTTCCAGGTAATACAATTTTGCACTAAAAGAAAGCAGTATAAATTTTGTATATAGCTTGTTTAACTAATATTTTCTTTACTTTCTCTTTTATTATTATTGTTTTATTTTGGCCAGATGTAGTCTTTTAACTATGTACTATTTAGTTATTCTAAAGGGACTTTGTCCCAGAATAAAATTATTTTCTATTTCTATTTTTATTTATATTTCTATAAACTAAAACCGGCTGAGTAAATAATGCCAATTCAAACAAAATAATTTTGGAGATACCAACGAATTTTGAACACAAAATTATGGGCCATAAGATTAGTACAATCAGTGTGATATAAAATACGATGGCGCAGTATTGAATCTATGATATATCTAAATGTATTACTTCCTGTTATGACAGTATGGTAAGAACCGGGTCTTTTTTACAATGCTCCATTCCATAACTTTTTAATTAGAGTAACGGTGATTCTTAATAACCTTTATTGAAGCATTAAAATATTCCATGATAAAGTAATAATTGATAACGAGAGGATATGCAATAACAGTCATCAAATGAAGAAGTCAGAAGAAAGGAAAGTGCCGATGAATATGCATTTTCAATAAAATAATCATAACAATAAAAGTGTGTTTTATTAAAATAAATTACTGTCGTTTAAATAAAATAAAATACGTCACGGAGCAGGTTACAGATTAATTTGTAATAATGTCTTTAAAATAACAATTACTCTATCCAAAACCAAAAAGGTAGGTAAAATGTTTTATCACGTTATCTGAAAGGATTTCTGCTTGCCTACGACAGTGTAGAAATCCCAAAAGCGTTGGGCAAGTTCCTAAACTCAGCGCAAATCTATTGATGGATTCCCGATCCTCATCAATGATCTGAGGACTGAGTTTCGTAACTTAGCCACCATAGATCGATGAGTTCAGGGAACGGCCTGATGCATTTCCGATGCCCATCAATTATCTAAGCGCTGAGTTTAGTAACTTGCCGTTGTTTTACACAAAGAGGAAGACGATCGATTGATAATATCTGTGAAGGGGGACTCACCTAAGAGAGGGCCATAGCGTCGGGAAGCCTGGAGCAGACTGGCGTGCTCCCACCTCGACCAACTACATTAATTGGGGGAAGCGGTTAACACCCACCACTCGCCCATCCGATCGCCGGATAAAAGGGGTGCCAACTGGTCTCCGTTCACTGCTAGGTGAAAAAATATTTTACGAGTAAATCTACAGTAAAATCGATTTCGAGCTGTATGATGTGGATGGCTGATTTCAATTCTTCACTATATTTTTAAACATTTATAAAAAATCTGGTGAGGTGCGCGCATCACACAAATATCACTTACCACCATCTTCTTAGCAGAAAAAGTATTAACAGACAAAGCATTTCATTATGGGTACTTTCATTTGTATAAGTGCCCTCATACATACAAATTTTAATATTTATATCGCTATAACCAATAAAATTAAATATTAAATAATACCAACAATAGCATTTATGAAAGCGACATATGTATATTTACATAACATTGTCGGAGTGCGTATTATATTAATCTCATGATACGTATGGAAGCGTGTTCTAATCTTTCGAGCAAGCTTGGGTGCGTTCTTATTCCTTTGGTTCCTCAATTACAACTATTCTACGTTACGATCTCTTATTTCTCCTTTAGTTAATTATCAAATTCTTTCATATTTTATATTTAACCATTTTTCATATTAGAAATTAATGTGAAATGGTCAATTGTTTTAAATAAAAAAAAATTAAAGGTACTTTAGAAGAAGCTGATATTGAAAATTAGCCATTTAAGCCCTGTTAGAGAACATCAATCAGAATAATAACCACATTTTATTTAAAACTGTTTAAGTTTACATTGATATGATGAATTTAATCAAAATCTTTGGAGCGGTTTTCGAGATAATCGTAAAAATGTGCTTAGTCCTTTATATAAAGTGCCACTGCCGGTTAGCCGATTTTGACAAAAAAGTTGCTGTAACATCCCTAGCACATAAAAACCTTAAATATGTAATTTCATTCCCGTACCACCTTTGGTTTTCGATCTAGACTGTCAACACACACACACCCACACACACGCGCGCGCAGACCATTTTGCGGGACTTGGTTATTTGGATTCAGGGGACCTAAAAAGGTGTATTTCCGTTGAAAACTCAGATTCAAAATTTTTCACGATCGCAATACCTTACTATATATTATATATATATATATATATATATATATATATATAGGTAAGTGAAAGTAAAAAGGGCTGCAAATCATTAGAAAATGGCTTTTTATTCCCAAATAGTTATATTTCAAAGATATGTGGCGTATCATCCTACATTTCTTACAACTTCTATATAGAACTTCCCTTCTTAAGACTTCCCTATTATTCAATTTAAATTGAAAAAAAAAGAAATTATTGTTCAAATAATAATATCGACTTCTATAGACAAAAATATTACAGTTATAAAATAAAAGAAACCAACTTTGCAATAGAACTTATGCTAAAAGTTCAAAACATCATATCTCTGCACTAAATCGTCTGATTTAATTGTTTTGTTTTTTTAGATAAGTTCACTATATATTAAAAGCGTAAAAAATTAACGACGAAAAAACTTATTAAAATTAGCATGAGTCATAGCGTTTTTTCCTGCTTCTTTTTGAGGATGTATGTTATATTCATACATTTATAGGATTCCAGGGAGAAGATTTTAGGCAAGCTTCATTAAAATCGTTACGGCACCACAGGTTTTTCAGGCGCCATTTTCAAAAGAAAGGGCGGATGGCAGGTAATGACGAGTTAAGAGGATCATCCTCAGGCGACCTGAGGTTATGACTTTCGATATGACTTTATTGATATGACTTTCGATTCCAAATTTCAAAACAATCGGCCCATAACTTTCGGATAAAAGTCGTGGATGGTGGACTAACAATTTTTTTTTTCCGGATTTTTTCGGATGAAATGCAAAACTTGACATTTTGAAAGGGAGATTAACTTTTTGTTTCTATTGATTAATCCCGTTTATTAACATCAAACAAAAAAAAAAATGTATAATCCATTCCTTCAATGGTTCCTAAACGAAAACTTGAACAATGCTCATGATTTTTTGATTTGATAGATTTTAAGCCACAGATGACCAATAAAATACTTTTTCATTGTATTTATATATTTGCCAAAGTTACCGCTTTTTGAGCCATTTTCATGAATTTGTAAACATTTTAAATTTGCCCACTTTTCACTTTTCCTTATACATAATTTTTAGAAATCACAAAGAAATTTCCTGAAATAAAGGATGGATCACCGGAGGAAATATATAAAAATGATGTAGAAATTTTTTTATAAAATGCATGATTTCCACTTATTCAAACCAAAATTTATCATATATACATTTACAATCTAAAAACAATGTAGAATGAGGACAATACATTTACAGAAAGTTTAAAAATTTTAACATTTAAAAAAAAATTACAGTTTCTAGAAAATGGCTAAAGAAGCCAAATTGTCTGCAAATAAATAAATAAAAACGTATTTTATGATGACCTGTGGCCTAAAATCTATCAAATAAAAACGGCACTGAACTTAAAAAATATGATAAGAAAATTCAATGATTATATTTACCCTTGGTACAGACCCCTTTTTTAAATCAAATTATTAACATCCAGCTGAAACTTCGTAAATAGCTTTATCTCAACGTGATCTACAAATATTTTATTTACGAAAACTCTCGGAATTGGCGCGTTTTCAATCTGGAGATCGCCAAACTTTGTCTATTTAATTAGGCACTAAAAACTCGTAAATAGCTAGTTTCTTTCAACTTGAATTGTAAGATAACTTGAACACAAAGTCAAGAAAAAATGTGGCCATCAAAAATATTGAGCCGTTTGGCCTATATTTTGACATTTTGGGGATGCATGTAACGGCAAACGCCTCAATATTTTTGAAGGCGACTTTTTTGCTTGACTTTGTGCTCAAGTTATCTTACGATTCAAGTGGAAAGCAACTGGGTATTTACGAGTTTTTATTGCCTAATTAAAAATACAAATTTTGCCGACCTCCAGATTGAAAACGCTCCAATTCCAAGAATTTTCGTAAATAAAATCTTGGTAGATTACGATGAAAAGAATTTATTTATGAAGTTTCAGGAGACTTAATAATTCCATAAAAAGGGGTCTGTACCACGGACTATTATAATAATTGAATTTTCTTGTCATATTTTTTACGTTCAGTGCCGTTTTTATTTGATAGATTTTAGGCCAAAGGCCATCACAAAATACGTTTTTATTTATTTAGTTGCCAACAATTTGGCTTCTTGGGCCATTTTCAAGAATCTGTAATTTCTCGAATCGAATCCGATGTACAATTTTCAGAGATTGTACGGGTTGGTGCCTAGATAGTTCCATATCAATTTTAACAAATTCCATCGAGCACTTATATATATATCCATTTATCCATCAGCCTACAGATTTCAGAGAAGGTTCGTTCGATTTAGCTCAAAGTTTGATAAAAGGTAGGTATTGGTGAAAAAGTAATGCAGTATCAATTTTATTGTATTTTATCCATTACTTTCTTTATATAGCCGCAAACGTTTTTTCATTAGTTCGTCTATATTTCTAAAACTACCCGTTCGATTTGGCTCAAATTTTGAGGGTAGTTAGGGATAGGCAAACACACAATCAAGTATGTATGAATTTTATCAAATTCTATCCACTACTCCAAAAAAAAAAAAAAAATACTTCCGCTTTCAGATAAGGAAATTATTATTTGACTCGCCTATAGTTTGAAAACTGAGCGTTCGATTTGACCAAAACTTTGAGGAAATTTGGAGAATAGTATAGAAATTACCCAGTATCAATTTCATTGAATTTCATTTACTAATTAAAATTAATATAAATAATTGCTAACAATATAATGGATGTGAAATGTGGAAGGCATTGATCATCTGGAGTGTTATTAAGTTTAAGACAATATTTTCATGAGGTTATAAAATTTTAGGTATTATTCAAAAAGTTAATTTATAATGTATTGTTTGGTCGACTCCAAACGTAACTAGCATGACACTGCCGTTACTTAGATTTCGAGTAATTTTCAGAAAATTTAAATAAATTTTTACTCTGTAACAAAAACGTCTTATTTGTGATTGTTTATTTTTATTGAACTTCACCCAACTCATCGTGATCTCAATTTCCATCTTAAATATCAAAGTTGTGTGAACTACACAAATATTTTTATATTCCAGCTTAATTAGTTTTGTACTGACCGAAAAAAGTATTGGTCTCGTTAACTCCTTACAAACAAAAATTTAAATTTTTCATATGGATTTTTTTGGTGTTTCATCCATTTCACGAGTGAAAACATATCACTAATGTTAGCGGTTAAAGGTAGTATGTCAAAAATGAACATTTATTCTATTTGTGCTAAGGGTGATATTTTGCAATTTGCAACTGATATAAGCAGTCTGCTACGATGGAAATATAGCAGAGGGCAATAACATATAAAATTATACTAATAAATCATAAAGAAACAATTAGTTTTTATGCTCTCATGTAAACCACACAATTTCTACTGAATTTCCGAAAACATCTTGTCTCTGAGATTTTATTCTCATAAGAAAATTTGTAGATCTTGTAATGTAGATGTTTTTTAACCAATAAAAACGGTGAGGAAGCTATCCTGACTTTAGTTGGCAGACTTTTTTTTTTTTATAGTGCTTATTCAGATTTAGTTACAGATGCAGATTTAGTTTATTATAGTGCATAATAATTACATATAATATTTAAATTTTTATATAATAATTGTTTAGGATCTTAGGTAACAGATCACGTTTTCGGTGGCCGTTACCGACGTTTATGGGGACTTTTTATTGAAAATATTTTCATAAAAGTATTTTTTTTTATGACGATAAAAGATGCTAGTGATATTATTTTCATGATAAGGATAAACTTATATTACATAAATAAATTTATGTTTTCATTTAATATTGCATTTAGATTTTTTAGAGATGAATATGGTATGAATATACACTCGTAGCTTCTCCATATATAAAATTTACGATGAAAAATTTTAAAAACAAAATGGCGTATGGTAACCAACGTGAATAATTAAATTAATTTTTGTTGTTGTTTATTTGGACTGATTTACATCTATAATAATAACAAACATGAAAAGGGAAATAATTATTATTGAAGGTACTAAAATAACTAATGACGTATTAAAGTAAACAAAAATTACTTTTGAGGATAATGAATCAGAAAATACTTAATAATTTATTTTTAAACAAAACGAAAATGTAGAGAGGTTTTCTCACTGAAGCAGCAGTAGCATGATAAATAAATAGATTCCAACATGAAATGATTGTAAGTTCTCAAAACTGATTTTTAATAATGTAGTCTCATCCTCTCAGCACAATTTGATTGTGAGAAAATAGATAAGAAAACAATTTGTTTTTCTTTCTCTATTATGCTTTTAAAGTGTCAACAAATAGAACTAGAAGATCGCTATTTCCTCTGTAGTTAAAAAGAGGATGTATGAAACTTATGTTATACAGAAAATAAATCTAAAAATTGTAGAGCATTTAAACAAGCAGTCAACGCCTAAACTATTATTGAAATAATACTTTTTGGAAATTTTCTTATTTATTTATTTAATTTTTATTGCATTAAAAATTATCAAGGTTTTGAATTAGAAATTAAGGATTAAATTAAATTTTTTATTTTTCCTGAAATTATATCCCTAACAAATTAATATTGCCTCACTATCAACTCTTGTATATACAAAAATCACCTACAGTATTGACTTAATAAAAGTTTGCTGAATATAGGATATTATTCACAAGAAATAAAAATCAACTGATTCAGGAAAAAATATATACATTAATACAAATAATTTTTACTGTATAGAAACACAGATTTATACTTTGGATGTGAACAACATCAGGTGACTTTACGAAAAATGATAAATCAGTTTATTTCATAATTTACTTAATATCAGTAATTGATTTCATTTATATACAGATATAGCACAACTGGAATAATAGAAATCTTTTGTTGAACATTGTGACCTATATTAGATCAGAAGTTATCTTCTAAGAGGTGGTGCATACCATTAATAATGATTTCAAGTTTTAGAAAATTAAATTTTTTTAATTAAGAAAAAAATATTTTTTTTTATTTTGTTATTTTAAATTTGCCACTGCGTTGGAACGCATCAAGCAAATGTGTTGGCGTTAATTATATCTTCTTGATTCCTGATATCTTCTTAACTTTTCAACAGATCTCTAGGCCACTGCCTTTTTAGTCGTCTTTGATTATTCTTTTCCTTCTAAGCCCTTTAAATTTGTCTATATAACACACTTCGAGGAAAAGAAGTTCAAAAGAAAGTTTCAAGGGATGGAAAAATTAGATTTCCGAATTACTAAAAAAGTATATACATTTTTATGTTTTTTTTTTTTTTTTTTAGCCAAGTGTTTCAAAGGTATTTAAATTCCATAAAAAACAAAGAAAGTTTTATCGAAGTCAGAGCCATATTAATAAAGATATTACGGTTTTAAATATTTTTGTTTTATTATTTTCAGTAATGAACAATTGTAATCGAGCAACAATTCAAAATCTCCCCCCGCTCCCTGAGGATTTGTTGTTTTACGTTTCAGAATACGAAGAACTCGAAAATCAAATAAAAATTGTTTTTAATTTTACTTTTTACTCATTTATTTGTTTATTGATTTTTTCCCCTTCAGAGACAACTTAAAAATCATTTCAAATATGTTCATTACATATGTTCAAATATGTTACATATATTCAAATATGTTCTTTACATATGTTCATGAAGAAACCAAAAAAAAAAAAAAAAAAAATGAATTAGATTTATTTTCCTGAAAATTGATCAAAGAAAAGATTTCAGTAAGATTTATTTGATAAACTAAAGCAATGTAAACCGGCTTAAGGTAGATCAGTGTAAAAATTTCAATACTCTCTAATTTTGCTGATAAAAAACTTTTGCCATAGCTTAATTTTGTCAAACAATAATTTCTGTAACAAGTAGAGGAAATAGTGAAGCTTGTGTGATGCAGGCAACAGATTTTCTTACTTTCACTTAGTCATCTTTTTTTTTTCTCATTTACCCCTTTCTGACACCATATGAACCCGTAATCTTACATTGGAAATTGAATAGCTGTAACTTCGTTAATAGTTATTACTTAATAGTTAATAGTTAATAGTAATAGTTAATAGTTAGCCTCACGGCGCTCTGAAACGTATAGATCCGTCGAAAACCGCATATCGGAAATTTGACCAGATCGCAATACTTTCCTTACCTAGTATAGGTAGGAAAATAATACGTTCAAACATGTGTAAAAATAGAATAAGTTGTATCATCGCTAATACTGGTTCGATTAGCGTTTTTCTACAGTCAATAGAAAAACATGTTTTTCATTTATTGCGCGCAAGCTATTGCGCATGGAGCATCGAATTTCTGTCACAGACATCAGTAGTCAAAAACCTACAAAATAAAAAAAGAAACAACAAAATCGGTTCAGTAGTTCCTGAGAAAATCATGGCACAGACAGACAGGCCAATGGCTAAAAATGTGTTTTTCGGACTCAAGGGGCTCTGATCCGTCGAAAACCGCATATCGGAAATTTGACGAGTATACGTAGAAAAGTAAAAATGTATCAGCGTTGGTTGTTGAACTAACACGTGCTTAACTGCGGACAAGCTTTATACATAATTGCAATAACTGACAGATAAATGCCAGGGTCAAGTTATTAAAAGGTTTTCTGTTAAAAATAAAATTAAAATTCGTTTCTAGGTCACTAATAAAACATCCTGGATCATGACATAGTGGTAATGACAATGCGACACGAAGCTTTCAAATTGTGTTACGTTTATCACACGATCTAAATGAAAAAAAAAAAAAACAGTTACCATAATACATATATTGATGGTCAGCGTCACAAGAGTTTATTAACAATTAAATATAGAATTGAAAACTGTTGGAAAATGTCTATCTTAGTAAAATTAACATTAATCATATTTAAAAGTTTAGTATAAAAAACAGAATTATAAAAAGTAAACCGTGATATCTTTACTAATATGGCTCTGATTTCGATTAAACTTTCTTTGTCTTTTAAGGAATTTGAATATCTTTGAATTACATGACTATAAAAAAAAAAACACACAAAAAAGTATATATACTTTTTGAGTAATTCGGAAATCTAATTTTTCCATCTCTTGTAACTTTCTTTTGAACTTCTTTTCGTGGAAGTGTGTTATATAGATAAATTTAAAGGGCTTTAAAGGAAAAGAATAATCATTGATATCATGATAATATGATCATTAATATATGTACATCCGGTCAGAAGCTACAGTTATTCGATTTTCGAGTTCTACGTATTCTGTGACGTAAAACCTCAAATTTTTTAGGAGAGGGAAAGGTTTTGAAATTTTTGTTCGATGACAATGGTTCATTATCGAAAACAATCGTAATTACAGGAACAACAATTCTTTTAGTGATAAATAAATTGTTTACTTTCACTTACGTATATATGTAATATGTAGTAAGGGTAAGTATTGCGATCGTGAAAATTTTATAATCTCACTTCTCAAGAACACCGCATGTTTTGAGGTCCCCTGAGTCCAAATAACCAAGTGTCGCAAAATGGTCTGTGTGTGTGTGTTAACAGTCTAGCTCATAAACGAAAAGTAGTACGAAACTGATATTAAGTATTTAAGGTTTGTATATGGGCCGCATGTGACAGCAACTTTTTTGTTAAAATCGGCTAACCGGAAGTGCCACTAAATATGAACGCTGAAACACATTTTTACAATTTTCTCAAAAACGGTCCTAACGATTTTGATTAAACTCGGTGTATCATTGTATAATTAAGTGGTCTTTAATATCATTTAAGTCTTATCCCCGTTGATGTCACTTTACAGGGCTTAAATGTCCAATGTTCATATATGTCTTCCTCTTAAGTACCTTTAATATGGTTTATTTTAAAAAGTTTAATCATTTCTCATTATTCAGAGTTCTAAAAAAATTCTACATATAACTTTTGAAAGAATTTGATAAGTTGATAAAGGAGAAAAAAAAAAATGCAGAAAAACCTGCGTTGCTATAGACTGCAGCGCCTAAACGAATGTATCGATTTCAATGAAACTTCTCTCAAGTCATTTTCTCGTCACCCTTTAAATTTATCTATATAACATACTTCAACGAAAAGAAGCTAGAAAAAAAGTTACAAGTGATAAAGTTAAATTCCGGATAACTCAAAAAGTTATCCGTTTTTTTTTTTTTGTTCTTGTTTTAGTTTTTGTCCTTTTTCGTCCTCTCGGCATCCCTCGCTTCATAGCTTTTGGTCAGGAGTTCAACCTGTTCCTTAGGTGTGAGCAGCTCATTCCCCGACGTCAGGTGGACAGTCCTCTTCTGGTTAACGAAAGTCCTGATCAGTCTCCAGAACTTGCGATGGTCATCATGGGTCACTAGCGGATCCAGGATTACATTTTGGGAGGGGCTTCAGCCCGAAACCTTTTTTTTCATAAAAATAACGATAATTACTTTGGAAAAACAGAAAGAAACTAACTACCTATATGAAATGGTGTGTAAGTTATTCCTTAAGTACTTTTAAATGTAATTACACGAACAATAATCCTTTAAGAGGTATTTATAAAAATTTTTTCCCCATAAATCATGGTTATATTTTTTCCATTTTGAGGGGGGGGCTTTCGGGCTGAAGCCCCCCCGTAGAACCGCCCGTGTCATGGGTTGTTCGGAGCCATTTTGAGGGGGGGGCTTCAGCCCGAAAGCCCTCCCCATAGAACCGCCCGTGTCATGGGTTGTTCGGAGCTCTTCATTTTGAAGTTTTCCAGTCACGCATGAGACTGGCTATCTGCCGGGTCATCGCATTGATGGTCGGTTTTAAGCTGTAATCATGCCTTCGGTGAAAGATGTTCCTCAGGTTGTTCCTTTTACTGATCAGGGCGAGGATGTGACGTGGTGGTTTCCTGGAGATGTTGGGCTGCGGGGCGAAACTAGAGATGTTCTGATTGGCTGAATCCTGGACAACAGTGTTAATGTCATCCACAGCCTCGTTCACCTCTTCTACTGTCCGGCACGGAGTTACCACTGACATATTAGCATCAGTCATTATGATACACTACCCCGTTGAATAACTGACTGAAGGCCGACCAGCTGAACTTTAATTTATTTGCCTAACGAATCACCATAACGGTGGAAATAAGCGGCGATATCTAGCTTTAAACTCAGAATATTCTATTATATCGCATCTATTATCGCTCAACTGACAGGATCTTCACTCAGGCATTCCTTAAATAACTTAAAAATGCTTGAAATGGTATCTAGTTATTTTAAAAAATAAATACATCTTTGTTTTAACATCGCACAGCGACACTTGTGCTGCAGCCAGTGAGCAATCATTGAAACTAACTTGAGACAACACCTGGAGCAGAAACCGCTCTTGGTTTGTTTCTATTCTAAAATGAGCTCTTTTGTAATGTTTAAATGAAACATTAAATCAAAATAATTTCGCTTTTAGATGCGGTTTTAAATTTAAGAATATTTTTATTCATAAAATTAGGTCACAATTAAATTAATATTTGTAGGATGCCCAATGATTCTAATATAAAGAAAATACCCTTAATAATAATATGTAAGTGATTTGTTGAATTTCAGACATTGATCACAAGGAATACAATTTTTACTAACTAAAAAACTTTGAAAAATAATTAGTATTCATCCTTTAATAATGCAAGATTGTATCTTAGAGGTGAACTATACTACAATAAGTGGTGTCATGCAGAAAATTATTTAGTAAACAGTTTATATAAATACATAGATAACAAATAAATTTATTAAGTTCATATCTTAGGGCATGGGCGGGGGGAGGGAAAGGGGAGGAGGAAAAGACTGAATTCTCCCTCCCCCCACCCTCTAAATGATAAAAAATAACCTGTTTTATGAAAAAAATTATCTTTAAAAGTATTATTGTTCGTCTAATTACAGTTAATAGGACTTCAAAAATCACTTAAAGACCATTTCATATAGGTAGTCTTCTTCCGAAGTCATTATCCTAATATATTTATACAAAAAAAAAAATATTTCAGGCTGAAGCCCTCCAAAATTAAATCATGGATCCGTTAGTGCTGCTTATTCATTAGATCCTCAACCCAGGACTTCATTTCATACAATTTTGAAATGAGTAGAAACTGCTATATATTTCTATCACTTTAAAATTCACGGAATAACATTTGAGAATTGCTCAACAAAGCCCTACATAGGTTTCTGCAATAATAAGGTATTATTATAAATACAAAATTTATTAGAGCGAGAAGAATATTAAGCTGATCTTTTTTCTCTAAAATCTAAAATTCCCTCTAAAGTCTGAAGCCCCTCCCCCCTCCCCCCCAAAAAAAATTAAAACCTGGATCCGTTAGTGTCTTGGGGATAAAAATATGCCCATACATCTAACACATTTACCAAATGGTCCAATTCACCTAATAATTAGCAATAAACAATCAGTCTAAAACTTTTTTTTTATGCATATTGTTTTCATTAAAAAAAAAAATTGTTCAAGAATAATAATTAACCTGTATCAAATCAGCTGAAGCAAAAGTAAAACAATTTTCCAACAATTTAATATTATTGATAATATGATTTGTACAGAAAATTTAATTTAAATTGTTGTACCATTGCGTTTGTTTTTAAAATTTAACAAAATATAAACCATAACATTCAGCACACCTAGGAAAATTTCTTTATGTAATTTCCATACACATTTTTTTAAACCAAAAACTGGAAATTCTTTTCTTTTTTTTTTTTTGCTAATGAAATGTTGCCTGCATCAAAACAGTGGAAGCAAAATAAAATAACTTTCTAAGAAAAATTACATATTACCGATGATAGGAGTTATACAGAAAATTAAATTAAAAATGTTGGACCATTTAGTTTTTTCTTACCACCTAGTTCAATATAAACCTTAGCATTCAGCACTTCTAGAGAAATTTCTTTATTTTAATCCAATTTTTATCAAAAAATGAAAGAAAAAGATTTGTTTCTAAAGGCTTGTCAACAACAAATCGGTGGAGCATAAATATTAACATTTTCCAGAAGGAATTGCATATTACTGGAAATGTTATTTATCCCAAAACAAAATTAAATTAAAAATTTTGGACCATTAATTTTTTTTAGAACACAACAAACAGCACACCACTTATTTAAAAATACTTTTAATATAATCCTGTATTTCTTTCTTCCTTGAAAAAAAAATAATAAACTGGCAGAATAAAGTTGTTTAGGTATTTAACGTAAACTATTGTGATCCATTTACCTAAAGTTTTCTAGAAAATTAGCTACATCACATCAGAGGAATGAAATTAAAAGGAATTCTAGAAGCACTAAATACCTCTAACAATATGACTTACTCTGAAAATGAAACTACAATCTTGAGTTTGCTCCCATATAACTATTGATGTATAGCATATAAAAAGTATTTTAATAACTTATTTCATTGAAGTAACACCGATTTCTTAGGGATTAAGAAAGTAATTGTTACCTTTTAGACACAAATTTATACTTTGGAGGTGAGGAATATTAGGCGACTAAAGAAAAGTGTATTTCATAATTTATTGAATAAAAGTAAATCATTTTATTTATACACAGATATAGCACATATACATTTAATTCAGAATGTAAACATTATTTATGTAATAGTGTAAATGTCTTAAGGAATTTAGTAGCTCAAAAATCATTCAAAACGTTTCTCCAACACTAAAACACATCAATTATTTTTTTTACTTTCGTATAAAAGTTTTGAATGATTTTTGAGCTACTGAATTCTTTAAAACATAATGTTTATATTCTGAATTAAATATATATGTGCCACATCTGTATATAAATAAAATGATTTACTGATATCAAATAAATGAATAAATTTGTGTCTAAAAGGTAACAGTTATTAATTATTTAGTATTCAAAAATCACGTCAAAAATTGTTTAATAACCCAATATTGCCAAAAAATAATTTCTATTTAAAGTAGAGCGATAAGTGAAAGTTGCGTGATAAGCACATCAGATTTTTTTCCTATCTATTTTCTTATAATCAAATTGTACTGATAGGCTGAGACTGCAATATCAGTTATCAAATATCAGTTTTGAGAACTTAACACTCATTTAATGTTGAGACATATTCATTTATTATTTATGCTAGTATTGCTCCAGTGAGAAAACCTTTTTACATTTAAGTTTTATTTAAATATAAATTAGTAATTATTTTCTAATTCATTAATCTCAAAAGTAATTTTTGTTTAATTTTTATCTCATTAGTTATTTGAATACCTTTGTTAATAATAATTGTTTTTCCTTTTCATGTTTAATATAATTATACATGTAAATCAGTGTAAATATCATAACCTAAATATAATTATTCACATTGGTTACCATAGGCCATTTTCTTCTTAAATTGTTTTATTCTAAATTTTATATACAGAGAAGTTTTTAGTGTCCAGCGCCATTAAAATTATGATACCTAAACATTAAAATTAAAAAACATTAAACATTTATCTAAATAAAATAATTTAAAAAAAATGTTATTCCCCGTACAAATGCAAAGCCTTGTTCAATAGCAAGAAAGTAAAAACTATGCTACTGGTATCTTACAACTGGTTGGATAAATTGTGGTCAACAGTATAAGGAAATTGCTCTAAACGGGTTATTATATCTTGAATAAAAGAGTAAACCAAAATATTTAGATATAAAATCAAAGTACTTAAATTTGATAAGAATCAGAAAATATTCATAACAAAAAGTGCGAATGAAGATCCTTCAGGAACTTAACATGAAAGGATTTCTTGAAGGTTCGATTTAAATATTTTTTTTTTTAAGGAGTCGGATGAGATTACTTAGTCTTTATACTACTAGGATTTTCCATAGATGTTCAGTATAAGGAGAGGAAAGACCTGACCATTGAAACCCTTTCAGGAAATAATCCTATGATACACCTATTGTCCCAAGTAAGAGTATCTTAGCTTCAGAAATCTCCACTGTTTTGTATGACGTGTTGTTAGAAGAGATGGTGGAGAGATTTACTGAAGAGGAATGTAATGTAGTCTATTTTAAAAGGAATCCCATATATTTTAATGGTTTATCAGACCCTGTTCTAGCTTCGGAAAGCATCATAATAAAAATAAAAAATTAAAATACTGTTATAATTTAACAAAAAAACTTACTCGAAAATGAAAGTACTTAAATAGCAGGGGAAATACCTGTACCTTGGGCCATCCTAAGAATAAGAAATTCCACCAGTGGAAATTCAGGCAAAATTGAATAAGCTACACTGCCAGTACACTTCCCAGCTGATTTTGGTGCCTCTGATCTGTGTTTTTTTTTTTTTTTAAATTGATAAGAGTGTTATAAGAGTCGGAAAAGTAATTTTTTTAAATTTGATATAATAATGTTTAATAAAAAAAGTACATGAACATACTCAAAATTATTAGTTGATTGATTTATAGTCATCTCTCTAACTACTTTTGAAGCTAAGTTCTAAGCAAAATACTTTAGTAGTAGTAGGAGTTTTCTAAAAAATTAAGTTAAAAAAATGAAGTCATATCATTGTACCTGGGGCCAATGTTTTATAATGTAACTTGAGCCTGCCCAAGGTACATTAATATAATTCCCAAATTTGTCTCTTGTGAGAACAAATCCTTGATTCATCATTTTTACTGGAGAAGTTTATAAAATACTATTTACTGACTGCAAGCATAATATATTGTGAGCTTTCAACAGATGACAGAAAACATAAACAGAAACAACAGAAAAAGTTAGCTACCAGTCTATATAAGTGATACTTATTATTGAATAATAATTATAATTCCCATTACAACAAATATTGCTCAAGATACAAATCGTAGCCCAAGGTACAATATAATAATTGTACCTTGGGACATTTATTATTTTTAAAAATTGTTTTTTTCATAGTCAAAATTGGTGATAAAAAAAATGCAAAAATTAACACAGTATCTTCAAAACATGAAAAATAAAATTCTATTTTGAAGTTTTAAAAATTAATGTTATTTTAGAAGTTATGGCACATTGAAAAAGAGTGATCGGTTACAGGTATTTCACTTATAGTTT